CCATTAAGGAAGGCAGGCAGCGTGTAATGACTCGCCACCTGGATTCCTGATTAGTCGGGAAGCCGGGCGGTGTGTAAAGACTTGCCACCCGGCTTCCCGATCAGCAGGTATTGTAGTGTCACTTACCAGTCCTCCAATAGTGATGCCCCATGCTGTCCAACTTAGGGTTCATGCTGCAGTGCGACCAGAAATGCGTCATCCCGGGAGCCTGAAGTGATGTCATGGAATACAGACTGGGGCTTGAGCCACATTAACCCTGCCTTCGGCCCAACAACTGCCATTACCAGAAGCCCAAGAACTGCTGTCACATTATGCCCCCTCTGGCCACATGCACTACCCCAGAAGTGGAGGAGGGGGACAGGGCAATTATGCTCAGGAGTCATCCCCCTGTAACAGGAGGGAGGTCCTGGAAGCATTTCAGGTGTACCCCTGACAAAAGACAGCAAGGCTTCAGGCAACCACAACCCATCAGAGCTGCATCAGAGGGGGACCGCTGACCCAACGGCCATCAGATCAGGAAAGAAAAAAAAACATGTTTTTGGATGGTAGATGGTAGGAAACACAATCTAAACTGAGGGACAGGGGGTGGAAGGGGTTTTTAAACTGTTCTGATTCTGTTTCCTGTAGAGGGAGGAACCAATCATCTCTCAGGCTGCTGTCCTGGAAGATGATTGGGGAAACACACTGATGGGGAAAAGCCACCACCGAACGAAAGAACTCCATTTTTAATTTTTGAACCTTGACAAAGGCATTGAGGGCCTTGAGATCCAGAATCAGGCAAACACCCTCCTTTTTGGGAACCGTAAAGAGGTTCAAATAGAAGTCCCCGAATCTTTACGACGGTAGAACCGGGACAACCACCCCCAAGTGCAGTAGTTCCTGAACAGCCAACTGAAGGTCGCACAGACGTGCGAGGGACAGGTGAAGATTTGGCAAAGGAAAAAAACGGGGTGGGGAGGGAAAAGAAAATCTATTTAGCAACCCCAAAAAAATTAATTAGCGAAGCCAACTGTCCGCTGCATGAGACAAGCAGTCCACAAACCAGAGAAGACATCCTCCCACCCTTAAGACGCACAGGTGGAAAGAACCTTCACACAGAGGGAGACTTCTCGGCGGGCTTGGAAGACTTGGATGGCCATGATGTCTTGGGATCACTAGAGAAATTGCCTGACTTCTGACCTTTGTCGGACATGCCTTGGGTGCAAAAAGGTGCTTATGAGCTGGAAAAGAAGGACACTGCTTACGCCACGGCTCCTTACCCTTCCTAAGCTGAGGTAGGAAGGTACTCTTGAGACCAGTCATTGGGAAACTGTCACCCTTAAAAGGGCAGGTCTATCAGTGCGTTCTTTGAAGTCTGGTCAGCAGACCAGCACTTGAGCTACAGGAAATGATGAACAACTGCAGACACTGACAGCTTAAACAACAAGGGCCAATTCAGCGACTGTATACATAGACCTTTCCTGTCCATCGTAACCCTGAATGAGGGAGATTCCTCCACTGGAATCACCACTGCCTTATTCAAATAGGATATGGAGGTCCACAACCGGTCAAGAGGCCCACTTCTTCAGAAAACCCTCCTCAAGCTTGTTAGCCACCGATGTAATAGCAATAAAGGTAAGTGTAAAAATGTTTTTGCATAAAGTAACAAAAAAAGTTAAACAAAAAAAAATTAAAGTCGCCCACCTCCATGCAAACGTACCCACGTGTAGGGTGCGCTTACATACGAAAACAACGCTTCCACAGCACGTTACATATCACCGCGAACGTCAGCGTGTAAGCAATAATTATACGGCCATCCATCACGGTTAACACTAAATTGATGAGTAGTAAAAAGCTTTTAAAGCATCGCCTATGACCAATTTTGGGTATTGTAGTCTCTTGTGATTTTGCGGGCACACGCAATTTTAAGGCTCGACATGTTTGGTGTCTCTTTACCCGACATGACTCCATCTTTTATATTTCATTTTAAAAAATGGGTAATAATAATAATAATAATAAATGTTTTATAACACAACCTAATGAAAACAGTTTTTTTCTCAAAATTCTAGGTACTTCACAGTAAAAAAAAAAGACAAAAAAAACGAAATATCACCAAAAGAAAGCTCTATCTGCCCCCCCAAAAAATTATACAAAATGAATTATGGTACGGTGCTGCATGACTGAATAAATGACAAAGTACCACAGAGCTGAATACTGAAAAATGGTCTGGACAGGAAAGGGGTTTAACACTCTGAGTGAACTCTATATGTTAGTTAGACTCGATTAACTTGTATCTTTCTTCAACCTATGCAACTCTGGTCTTCAAGTCATTAAACACAGTAAGTTTGCATAGATTATGCTCAATTTATCTTTACACACTTTTCTCTATTCTGTGTCTGTGGGCCAGCATCATTCAATCCACTTTCTCTGAGCCTGTGACTGGACAGTGAAAGGAAAAGCAGCACAGTGCGATCGCTTTAACTTTGACCTCTCTTCCTATTAGCATGCTTTCTGTCAGAACATAAACAGATTGGCTCCTTGTGCTTCTATCTCTTCTCACATGCCAGCCTTGTTGTACAGGGACTTCTAGAGGCTGATGCCAAGTCAAAATCAGGTAGTTACACTTCTTGTATTTAAAATCATATATTTAGTGATATGTTAATGATTACTGCGCTGCATTAAAGGAGAACTATGAAGTGAGTGATTTCCACTCATCCTCACAGTTGGAGCCGACCTTTGACAAAGAAGCTGTCACAGGATGGCTCCATCGATCAGGAAGTGAGCAGAAACATGACGCCGATCCGCTCACTTTCAGATAGTCTCTCTGCAGTGAGCGGCGACTATCCCGCTCCCCGCATGGATTCCCCCCTCCCTTCTCCTCCAGCCCTGAGTGGAAGAACGAATGGGGGGAGGGGCGGGCACAGCCGGCTCTGCCTCTAGATAGCCAGAGCCCACTGTCAATCAGCTAGCTGGGTGGACCTCGACAGTATTGTCGGGATCTGTCAGGCTGCAGTGCTCTCTGTATATCGCGGGCTACTGAGCTTTGGGTCACGGGAGGAGGTTAGTATATGTCCTACCATGACCCAAAAGAGATCTATGGGGAAAAACACTTACCCCATAGTTCTCTTATAAACAAACTTTATTTTAAATTTAAGGTTATAATATTAATTACGATCAACATAATAAAACATTTTAAATTACTTGCCATGACTTTGCAAGCAACATTTTGGATTATGATGAATACTAAAAAGATAGATATGAAAGAAAAATTACAAAAAAAACACAAAAAGCTATTACAACCAAGAAAGAATGTTTATATGCCCAAAAACCAAAGTCCAGAAATATTACCTTTTCACTATGAAAGATGGGGCCCAACGTGCGGTCTTTTGGTTCTGGCAACAGCCCATTCTCATTCACTTTACCATCTGTAAATTAAAAAAATAAAAAAAATAAAAAAATCACATCACTATTTTAAGGATACTATAAGTACTTTCCCAAACAAACATCAAACCGCAAAGAAGATATCTCATCCTGAATAATATTAAAAGAGGAAAGCTTTTTTTCTGTTTCCTGTTAGAAGCACTGAAGGGTTCTTAAGCCCATACACATTTACAGTCTCAGTGAGCATGTATAAACCTTTCTTTCTGATCCCCCTCCCACTTGCTTTTGCAGAAGTGCACCTCCTGATCACAGCAGTGCTGGAAGCTTCATGTACACATTCGGCTTTACAAGAGTACGAATGTCAAAAGGAAGCTGTGGCTGAATGATAAACACTGATAGACCGCACAACATCCAAAATGATGGATACATTTCCTAAGAAAGGAGAGGAGCTGGACAAAGTGAAGGTAAAACAAGGTTTTCATTTAAATGACTACCTTGGGTAGAAAGGAAAACTGCGATCTCAAAACAACCTTGTCCCTATGAAGAATGAAACAGGGTTATTTACAAGACAAAGCAGACAACTTGGAAACCCTTCAAGTCGAGGTAATGGCCACAAGGAAAGCAACCTTTTTAGATAATAAAGACAAAGAAAAGTCTCAAAGATTCAAAAGAAGGTTTTGTAAAACAGATAAAACTAAGTTCAATGAGACCTAAAAGGAGGAGCTACACAATAACACTGGTCTACAAGGAGAAAGCCTCGGAAATTAAAGTAGCTCAATTTTACCAGAATTGGGTCGCTAATAAAAGGAAAATTAAGTCCTGAGTATTGATTGGCTCCAGTTTTCAAGATACAGATTCAGGTCAAAATTGCATCAAAATTACGAGGGGCATGTGCAATTATGCTCTATACCTTTTCTGCAAAATGTAATATAACAATGAGAATGGTGCCACACCTATCATTATAAATGTATCCTTTTTATTGATAGCAATAACATAACTTTCAATTCATTTACTAGTTTTTCATGTAGGATTCTGGTGGATCTGGAATAGGCAATTCCTCATCATGGGGTACAGGACGCAGTGTGGATGGAATGTTTGGATATTCCATGGTTCACTTCTTTCTTGAGATCCCTTTTGCAATTGGGGGAACCATGCAAAAGTAGCAGGCGCTACTATGATTGGTGGGTTCCCTCCACACCATTGGGACTGCGAAAGGCATGGACTTTTTCTTCTTGTTAGCCAATAATGCAGATAAGTTGCACATGTAATGCAACAATAATGAGGGGCCCAAATCTTGTGCTGATCCCTTATGTATCCAAAATATAGGTGGTATGCCTTTTTTTTTACCACTGCCGCCATACTGCACTTCTGAGATGCAAATGTAACCTCACCACAAATTATCTGCGATGTTTACACAGTTTTATCTGCAATGTTTACACAGTTTCGAGGCATCTTGGCTTCTGAAGGGAAATATCACACAACTGTTCCTCGGAAATGTTAGGCAATGACACTTTCATAAGCCACCAGATGTAACTGTATGATGCATATATCTGACCAAGGCAAATGTACCTTGCAATAAAAGAACAATAAGTTATAGTTGGGTAGTAATCTTTAGTCTCAAAGTGAAGATACATTTATACTGTACACTTCCATGTGGTTTTCATTGTTCTACCCTACTTTGTCGGGAAGTTACGAGGCATCATGATCATCAGACACCTCCCTCCCTTGTAGGCAAATACACTCGTCTGTGTATAAATCTTTATTGTGAAATATTTTGAAAACTTTAGCCGACCAGCACCTTTATCACCTGTTTTCTAACTCATCTAATTAAAATATGAAAGAACCCATTTTTTTCATGGAGGTCGATAATTTCTCAAAATTTGTGGACTAATGTTAACTAAAATAAAAGGGAAGATTTCCGGAATTAGAAGAGGACATTGAAAAAGGACCGACCAGGCAAATGTCTTACCATTTATGGTACTAAATGTTGTTCTACCCCAAGTTGAAGGAAAGACAAAATTTTGCAATATAGAAGAGCATGGGTAGAAAACCTAAAAGGACTCGCATGAAAATAATCCTTCACATACATTAAAAAAATCTAATGAGTAGAAGAATTCACAAGCCTTAAGCATAGACTGAATAACTAAATCTGAAATTCCTTTTCAACACTTGGGTTTTAATAGCCAAACTGTTAAAAACAGAGACCAAGAAGCAGGGTGGAAGATTGGGGTCAGAGGTAACAGATCTGTCCAATCGGGAAGAAGCCAGGAATGGTCTGCCAACAGATGAACCAAATCAGCATGCCTGCAAGGCTAATCTGGAGCGAGGAGAATGAATGGAATACCTTTGTGTACTATCCAACGGAGCAGTCGATATAACTGGAGGAGAAAAACATACAATAGTGTGTACCGATACTACAGAGCAACCAAGGCATCCACCGTATCCACCCTTGGATCCCTCGTTCTGTACACAAATCTGTCGACCTTCTTGTTGTAACAAGCCAGAAGATCCACATTCAGCGTTCGCCAGCATTGACAAAGTTGTTGAAACATCTCTGGATGGAAAGAACATTCGCCCGGATACAGACGAAACAGACTACTGGTTTGCTACTCCTGGAATGTGTACTGCTGACATCACAGAAGTTTCACCCAATTCAAGATCTCATGTACTTCCGTCACCGACGATGTTCTCCTGCTGCCTCCCTGCTGATTGATGTATGCCATTGCCCAGACAGAAGATGGGTCTAGTGAAATGTCAGATAAATCGCCATCATGTCCAGGACATAAAACTGAAGCTTGGATTCCTCCGGAGACCAACAACCCTGCACAGACAAATGATTCAAGAGACCACCCATCTCACAAGACTGGTGTCCATCATGACAATCTTCTAAGATAAGGGAAAAAAAACACTTTCACATGATCAAGGCAGGGGATGTCAACCACCATGGACAGAGACTAAATCTTGTCCAGCGATAGAAGAGAGACTAGAGTCCAATAGAGACTTGTCCAACGCTGTAAGAATGTTGCTCTGTAAAGTCCTGGAACGAAACTGAGCAAAAGGTAGCGCTTTGAAGGTTGACACCATTGATCCCAGAATTGTTATACAGGTTCTTTGAGAGGAGTGGTGACGGGATCAAAGAAACTGAACTTTATCTCGCAACATCAATTTTTTTTTTTTTTTGGGAGGAACACTTTTGCGTGAAGGATATCCAGCAGAAAACCCAAATACTCCAAGTGGTGTGACCAAACTAGGGACTGCTCATCGATGTTCAGAAGCCACTCGAAGTCCTGTAATATCCACAGCATTGTCTAGACATTGAGCTAAGTAGGAAGAGACTGTGATTGAAGTAAAATATTGTTTAGTTTCTGATAATTGGAATGCCCTTGCAATGAAAATATCTCAGAACTGGAGCAAGAGCTTTGTAAAAACCCTTTGAACCTAAGCCAACTCGAAAGGGAAGAGACACAGATTAATAAATGGAGGTTGGCTATCGCAAAAGAAAGGGAATGCTGATGAGCTGGAAATAGAGCAGTGTGTAGAAACACATCCATTATGTCTATGGAAATTAAAAAAATCTCCTTGACTAAGAGAGACAACAACCAACTGAATGGTTTCATCCAGAACTTGTTAATATGTACAAACCCACTGAATGCTTTCAAATCCAGAATTGGACGAAGTCTTCTGTTGGATTTGGGAACCATAAACCGGTTTGAGTAAAAACCTGCAAAATGTTCTGCCAAAGGAATTGGAATAACACCCGTATCCAACATACCTTTAAATGCACAAAATACGTTCGTTTAACACTGGTGAGACATGCAAAGCTGGAAAGCAAAGAACCAAAGTAGGAGGAGGAGTTTCCCATCTCTGCAAATTCCATGAGGCGTTCCCCCCCTCCTCCACCACCAGCTATAGAAGAGGAGGGAGCTGACCTCCTTGCTAAAGCGGACTTTTTGCTGAGATTTGGAAAACATCTTTTGAAATTGGGAACTAAAAAAGAAAACCTAAAAACAGACAAAGTGTTCACTTTTATCTCCCGTAGGTTTTTTTAATCATCAAATCCAAGGTAGCATTAAAAAGACAACCTCTCGCGTAGGGTAAAACACAAAAGTCCCTTCATGCACTGGAATTCCGTCAACCACCACTTTAACCAGATAGCTCTGCTTATCTGAATAGAAAAGACAGACACACAAGACAACAGATGATAAGCATCAAAAAATGTATCACATATGAAATGAGAAGAAACAATCATCTGATTTTGTCCAAATAGCCAAAGTCTGGGGAAAAAGGACCATAGCCAATAATGGTTGAAGAGGTAAACCAGCTAAAATAATCAGGAAAAGGATACAGGGACTTTAAGAGCCTAGGAACCAGAAATTTCCCTATACTTACATAAAAATCAGAAATAGGATGAAAAGGAAAAAAACCTTGCAGATGCGCTCAGGTTTACAAGAACCTAGACTATAAATCACAGAAGTAGAAATATCAGCAGAATCCTCTAACTTTAAAAGAGTAAAACGCAGCCTCACTTAAGGCAACCGTTACTTTCTCATGCTGAGTGAATCTGTCAAAGCCCAGCTACTGCATCAATGATATGATCTAGTGTTTATGACAAGCATATGTTAGGTGTATTTTTTTTAATGTGCTTAATGTATGTGCTATGTTCCTTAACCCTTTCGCTGCCAAGGACGTACAGCTCTACTATAAGCTAATGGTTCAGCGACCATCAGCTTATAGTAGAACTGTTCAGCAGACTGTCCCCTTTAAATTAATAGCCGTCATCAGCGGCTCACAAGCCGCTGATGACCGATATTTTCAAAAATACCGGGCACCCCACCCCCCCCACCGCCGCTGCCGGCATCTGGAGTCTCTCATCCCTCCCTGGAGCCAGGAAGGAAAGAGTGCATGCCCCCGGGAACCTAAATAGGTGCCACCAATATCTGGACGTTGTATAACTTACACAAAAGCTGGCGCTCCTTACAAAGTGAAAGCTACATCACCAGTATCCAGGGTAATGGAGGAGGGAAATAAACAGTTCGTTTTTTCCCAGTAAGCCTAAGCAGAAATAAAGGGGAGAGCTCCCCATGTGGCCAACTTGTGAAATACATAAAGTAAAACAAGCACAGGTCACAATAGCAACACAAACAAAAAACTGGGGGGAATTTATCATTGGAATAGTTTTTTTTTTTTATGTGTGTGCAAATCTATTTAGCCTTTCCTTTTAACATGTACACCCGTTTTGACCAGAGCTTGCACTACTTTTCCTATTGCACGTGTTTTGCGCCTGATTTATGAAAGTACGGAACCGTTTACATCTGCACTTGTCCTGCAGCTGTCTGAAACTGGAGCATCACCTAACAAAAAAATAAATATGCTACCTAAGAAGTCCCCATGACCACTTTTTCAAGAAGTGACATTGAGCTTTTTGCCTGGAGTTACAAGTCTTCTTTCTTGGGGTCTATTTAATCTCATTTATGAACAACATTACACTAGCAACATAAATCTGGCACAAATATATCCCATGCAACCAAATGCGAATTCAAACACTCGCAATTGCTTTGATAAATTCCCCCATGTCTTATATTGAATAAGACTCCAGAACAAGTCAGTTCATAGATCAAGACCGCTCAATTCAAAATGTAAACATTCTTACTCTTTGGTAATGCTTAGAAAAATCTTCACATACTTATAAATATCAAAAATTAAATTGAATTAAATAAACCCGCCGCACCACAGACACTCTTTTTAAAAAAATGACAACATTGTAACAAACACACATTAATGCCATCTTGTACAAATATTTAGCTCAAAAATACATATCAAGTCTAATAAATTTTACATATAGAAACAACGGAAAAGCTATTCTAATTCTTTATTATGGCATTATTTGTGTGTTTGGGACAACGTTGTCATTTTTTAATAGAGGTGTCTATGGTGCGGTGGATTTATTTACGTCAGTAAAATGTTTGATATTTATAAAGTATGTGAAGATTTTTCTAAGAATTAAGAGTAAGGATTTTTAAATTTTGGATTGAGCTGTCTTGGTCTATAAACTGACTTTTTCCTGGAGTCTTATTCCATATAAGACACAGTTTGAGAGGCAATAATTCAGTTACCGAACAAGTCTTTGAATAAGATAAGACAGGAATCCCAGATGATTTTTATCAGTTTTTGTACACTATAGCAACACCTCAGAAGCCTTGAAATGTATAGGCCACTTTTGACTGGAAAAACCAGAAGCATTAGTGACACCTAGGTAAATCACAAATGTCACAAGTTTCTGAATAAAAGCAGTAGTAACATACAGAGCAGAAAATAAAAACATTCACTTGCACACAGTGCCCAGCAAAGGCCAGTCTGGTCTGACAATTCTGCCTCAGACAGTTTTAGACACAGAAATACTGTTGCAGGAAGCAGAATATTTGAAGAGTGGCTGTGTAATAATAAACAAACAGGATATCTATGCACTCACCAATAAGTAAATATGAAATTGAGGGTTAATAAACAAAAGATGAAGGTGTGGTTTGAAGATGGCCTGCCGATGCACGTGTACGTTGAAAGCTCCGGCGTCTAACCAAGGAGAGAGCTTGCTAGCGTGATGAGAGACAGAGAAGGATCAGCCCTGACAAGCCCCAACTAACAGGAAAAAAGCAAAACTGAAAACGAGCATCAGGAGAATCGGCAACGGTGGTGGAGGGGGCAAAAGGAGAGGAGACGAGCTGCCAGTGAGACGAGCTGCATGTGATAACTTTTAACCCATTGCTGTAGATAAGGACTATAACGTGCTATTGAACATTTACTACTATTGAATATTTACGGCAGTCAGAGCGGGAGGAAGATAAACAGTGGGTTAGGTGGTGTAGACATATAGATGGGTCGCAGCACAAAAAAGGGTGCTTCTACCCCCAATGCCAGAATACCGGTGAGAGGCGGACGGGACATAGGGGTTTTTGTGAAAAATACAGAGCCTGCTGAAACTGAGGTTAACCTGACATGGGGGCAGAGGGAAGCTAAGAGACTCACAAGGGGGTTCCCTCCCAGTCTTCCCTGTGGAATCAGATCGTTCAGAGAGAATGGAGTTGGGGAACTGTCTGAAGTGACTGAGGTGGAAGGAGGAGAAATACAGATCTCGCAGGAGTTAAATGAATGCCTGGCTGAGTTGCCAATAAAAAAGGAAATTGAAAAGATGTTCAGTAACGCAGGGAAAGAGCTCAAGGAGGATATGCAAAAATTGCAAGAAAGCATGCAGGAGTTAAACAATCGAATGGAAGGGATTGTCCTCATGGGTGTGTTTTGCAAGTATACAGAGGAAAATTGATGCGCATGGACGTTTCATATTTGTTCGCGGTCCATTACATAATATAGAATGCGTGGTTGCCAATATCTCTATATATATTCCACCACCGTACTATATTGATGCACTTACAGAATTGGCCTGTTTCCTTGTAGATGAACTCCAACTCCCAATATAGGTAATGAGGGATTTTAATAACTGTATGGATCAAAGTAGAGATACATTTCCATCTTGCTCTACACCATGAGTTACCAATTTATCTGTTTGCCAAGATGTGTCTGGAAATGGGCTTGTCAGATATGTTGCACCTTTTTCATTTGGCCGAGCAGCAATATACCTGCCATTCAAAAACACATAATACACTATCCTGTATTGATTATGTATTGGGAGCTTCTGAAATTTTACCATGTGTCACCACTGTGGAAATCCAGCCTAGATATCTGTCAGATCACTCAATGGTACTGTACATACTCGGCTCACTTTGGGCCAACAATTCTCCTCTACCCCTTGTCGTCTAAATCCCTTCTGGTCATCATTGTTAGGGGAACGTGCATCATTGGAGGACGATATGTCCTCTTATTGGGCTGTTAATGCAGGCTCAGCTTCTGGATTGGTGGTATGGGACATCCTGAAGGCCTACCTACGTGGTCTTTTTTATCAAACATATTCGTCGTATTAAGTCACCCACTAGGCAACGGCAAAGCCTAGCAAGACCAGCAGTTCCAGATAGTGAAAGGACATTGGTATCTCATCTATCTGATGCTAAGCAAGCTTAGCACAAAACAAATAATTTTTTTACGAAGAGAGTGTTCTGGGCTGAGGGAGATGCCTCAGGAAACCTTTTGGCTCAGATTGCTCGCTCTCAACAAGCATCATCCTATATTGGATCCATTAGGGATTCTTCTGACTCTCTTTGTACAAATAATCAACATATATTAAATGTTTTTTTCTCAATTCTAATATTCTGATGTTGACCTAGCAAGGCATCTCTCAGGTATAACGCTGCCTACCTTAACTGTGTCGGATTTCTTATTGCCATGCAGGAGATGGAACAAGCAGTTGCTAGCTTCCCAAATGGTATGGCCTCGGGTCCAGAAGGGTTGCAAATAAAGGTCTACAAGAATTATAAACAATCTATTCTGCCTCTGTTACTGCAAACATTCAATGGAGCACTAGATTTGGGATGCCTCCCAAGCACTATGTATGAGGCCACTATTATTGTGGTTCCTAAAAAAAAAAAAACAAAGACCCCCTTCAACCAGAATCCTATAGAGCGATCTCACTGTTGAATAATTATGTTAAAATTCTAGCATGGTGCTGGCTAACAGATTGTCTATGAAAATGTCATCTATTGTGCATCCAGATCAATCTGGTTTTCTACCTAATAAATTCACTGCTATTAACCTACGAAGGGCATATCTGAATATGCAAGTACCTATAGACAATACAGGTAACAGAGCATTTCTGGCATAAGATATAATGAAGGCATTTGATGGTGTTGAATGGAGATATTTAAGAGCCATTCTATCTGTATTTGGGGTTGGACCTCAATTTGGTGCTTGGATACAATAATAATAAGAATCAAAGAGATACCCAACTCTTTATTTTGCATTGGACCTACTGTACCCCTGCGTTCCTGTTCAAAATAGGTGCCAAGATTGACCCTTCTTGTCCAAAATGTGGTTTTCGCCAAGGATGCCTGATACACTTACTGTGGAGATGCCCCAAATTGGTCTGATATTGGGGTGCAGTGCTTAAGGTTATTCACTCCGTCTTCGGTATATTCTTAGATAACACACCTAGAGTTTGCATACTTGCAATTCTGGATATCCCCTGGGAGGGATCCGTACACCAAATTGGCTATACACAAAGCCTTATTTACCGCTAGGCGACTGGTGGCAAGGAAATGGATATCCACCATCTCTCCCTCATTATCCAAATGGACCTCTGTGTTAGATCAAATTGTAATGTTTTTTTTTTTTTTACTTTGGTCCAGATGGCTACACTATGTACACATTAAAGATACTCTAGAATTTCTTCATATTATTATTAAATTAGACGTATGAGTGTCATATATGTGAGCTCAAGATGTGATTTTGACTGCTCCAGTTCCAAGTCTTTATGTATCTTTTTGAATTACAGCAGTGATTTAAATGTTTACATGCCTAGTTGATTTTACCTAAATGAATTAGTTCATGGATACTGTTTTATCGATATGTCCATATGATGTTATCGGTTTTGGTTGTTTCTTGTATATTTGTGTTATATTTGCTATCATATATTTTTCTTTTATATTGTCTGTTTTAGGAAACAATTGAATAAAAATGATCTGATTGAAAAAAAAAAATAAGAAAGAAACGAAAGAAGTAGATTCGATACCACACCGTTCACTTTTACTGCTAATAGAAATGCACTACTCCACTGTGAGGAAACAAGAAAAACAGACTGCTCATGCTTGCACATGCTCAGTAGATAAAAACAAGTGCATCATCTAAACAAAGCCTTTAGCCAAATAGGAGTTGAAAAGTACCCAGCCAAACTAAAACAAACATTAGGTAAATATATTATTTATTCTTGGACTCCATGGCCCTGTTCCCTACATAACAGGAATCCCCAGGTAATACTGGCCTGACTGTTAAAGGATAAAAACAGGACCACCGCAGGATGAAGCATGAGTACCGAGACCAGAAACAACCTGCTTTATGACCACTGCAGGACAAAGCATAAGTACTAAGACCAGAAACAAGCTGGTTCATGACACCTAGAGACACTTCTGAGATTTAACGTATGTGACATGAAACTCTCAGTTTTGGCAGCTACCTAGGGAGACTCAGGATTGAATAATATCCGCTAGGAATCAAAAAGCAGCTCTTGGCAGTAGAATCTTTAACGAAGAAACAAAATAAACTAAAATAGTAAAGCAGAAGAGAAGGAAACATCAATTCTCTTGAGCACACTAAGCAAAACGGTAAGGTGTGAGAGGTTATTGTAATACCTCTTTATGGCCAGGGATGGAGCTTATTTGCGGAATTCCGTTTGTAAGTCAATAGGTCTGAATAAACATAACCAGCAGTAACACGTTGCAATGTTAACTTCACATCACAGGTTAAAAGTCATTAGTTTGAATGAATCCTTAGCAACAGTAGCAAGTCTGAAATGTTAACTTCACATCACAATTTAAGTAAATGGTTTTGATAACATAAGCAGCAGTGGTGGAAATACTTGCTGTTTAGCTGTATTGCTGTTTTAGGAATCCATCCATGCAGTGAGGCTAAATAGTGGCTGTAGAGACTAGGGCTGAGAAGTCCTGTGCACCTGTCTTAGGATTGCGGTGCACTATGAGTCTCAGCAGCCCTTCAGAAGCATGAGTGGTAGAGGCTCATATCAGGGAGCTAGGGAGTAGCTGCAGTTCAGAATTGAGAACGGAGGTGCTCAGAGCTTGTCCGGCGTCCGCAATCATTGCAGGAACGCCGGATAAGTGAGAGGCTGTGGCTTAAGCCAAAGAGGGAGGCGGAGTGGTGTGACGTCGATGGATGGGGGGTGGAACCACCCTTCGTTTCCGAGACGCTGGAGGGTTAAGTATACGGGATCTGTTACAGTTATGTCCTTAAAGTGAGAGGCTTTTAATTTGATTGCCTATTCTCCATTCTCCTAGAGGCAGCAGCACAACCCTATGTCTCAGAATTCTTCAAAGCTGTGTCCCTCAATGGACGACAGAGAAACATGTTCGTTGACACGTTTGTTTGTACACTTTCTAGACCAACGTGTCAAGTCTCTGCCCATTTTGTCTGCTCCAGCGCCACAAATATGGGTGATGCGATGGTGGGGAAGGAGGAGGCAGACGCCTGCATCAGTGAAGTCATCTGAAGAAATTGACATGCTGCATGATGGACGACAAAGATTATGACTGCAAGCTTTTCAATCATGCATGGCCCAATACCCACAAAGATCTGATACTGGATAAAGTTATAAGGCGTTTGCATAGGAGATAAAGCGTGGAAATGGTGGAGGCCCAGCTACAAAAAAAGGGGTCGGATCTAAAACACAGAGAAGATAACCTGTGCAATATCCAGAAAATAATCAAAAACATGTTTTTAAGTAGTCATGGGCTCGACGATCGAGCCAAACAACGCTAGTTCGGCCGCCGAGCACCCCGCAATGCACTGTGTGCATTGGAGAGCCCTGATTGGTGTAAAGCAATGCCACCTGTAACTTTGCTCCTGTATAATACTGTGTACTTCCTTTTAATGCCAATATATTTTCCTTTTTGCCTGCTTTTAAAGAAAAACAAACATGGAATGCACAACGATATGATGACATATTGCAAGAAACCCAAATTTTGCACTACTTACTGTTGCTGGTGACAAAAGGGTTGTATTTTCTGTCTCCTACATAACCTCTGCCCTATTGTACTAATGAGTCTGTGCTAGACTGCTCCAATAAACACTTTAGTCTTCTGGCTTTCTATAACAATACAAAATCATGCAAAGCATGGGAACACACAAAGTATGCCATCGTACTGTTTACCCCATAACCACTTGAAATCTGCGGTGTTAAACCACCTTCCTGTCCAGGCCATTTTTCAGTATTCAGCGCTGCAGTACTTTGACTGACATTTATTCCGTCATGCACGCTGTACTGAAATTAATTTTATACAATTTTTTAGGGACACATAGAGCTTTCTTTTGGTGGTAATCACCACTGGGGTTTTTAATTTTTACTTTATTAAGAAAAAATTACCGAATTTTTTTAAACAAAAAACTGTTTCCCCTATATTAAATTATAAATCATTTATTATTACCCAAATGTTTGGTAAAACATAAAAGGCGCGCGCGAAACCTAAAAGAAACACGATACCCAAAATTGGCCATAGGCAATACTATAAAAGCTTTTACATTTTATCAGTTTAGTGTTATCAGTGATTGATGGCACTAAAATTATTGCTCTCACTCCCGACGTTCGCGGCGATATGTAACATGTGTAGTGCAATTGTCATTTTCGCACGCTGGCGCATCAAATGTGTATTTACGTTTATATGTGCGTAAACGTGAGGGTGGGGGACTTACAAATGTTGTTTTTTTTTTTATTGGGCTAGCGGATCCCGGGATTGAAGGTGAGGGGTCAGGAGGGGGCGGCACTCGAGGGGGCGAGCAAAATACAACCGATCAGCGGCTATAGAGCCGCCGATCGGTTGTATGTCAAACAGCCGGTAACGGCTGTAAAGAACGGACGGGCCTTTTCGCCGTGCCTGAGCAGAAAAAAAATGTTGTCCAATTATGGCAACCCGCCCATTTGCAACGGGAGGACGGCAAGTGGTTAAAGACAACAAGATGACTAATGTGTGCACTGGAATAATCTACCCTAGGATTAAAAGACATGCACACATATTCATACCCTGTCTTTTACACCAAATCTACACACCAGTGTAGCACACGAACTTTCATTCCCAAGTGTTCAATCTACTTCTGGATAATGTTTTTGCACGGGACGGGGGCATTTCCACCTCATCAAATAATTTCGGTCAACAACAATCAAATTTAGAAATACACGTTTGGAATTCCATTCATTTGAGAAAACTTTTTGAACAGGCTCGTTAGAAAGTTCTCATGACTGAGGTCTTTTTTTTTTTCTCCAGCATTAATTCATAGTAATTTGAGTCAACGTTGCATGCAAATTCCAAACAAGTGAGGACCAAGTCTAGATGGACAGAAATCATGTCCTTTAGCTTATAAGCGTCAGGGGACAGGTTCTCTTCATAAGAAGAATCCTAGGGACTAGAAACCACCTTTCCTCTCCCCTATGGAAGAGAAATCAGGCGCAGAGGAGAATAACAGGGGTCAAAGAGGGAGCAAGAGAGGGGGTCCAGATGTGGCCACTATTGCTAGAAGAATAAAAGAGATACACCACCTTCTCCACAAATGCGGGAGTGGTAAGGGAGGACATGCAGTACAATCTTTGCTCTCCTTATGGGCATATTCCCCAAGGGAAGTCTTCAGGGTTAAGGCTCCAGAGATGGACCATGGCCCTTGACCTGTAAAGCACCCTGTGGCTAATCACACATGCTGCACACTGTGCCAAAAAGGGAGCTAAACACATTGCAGGCCAGCCCAGCATCTTCCTCCTGGTGGGATCTGGGTCCGGTCTTCCAAGGGTCTGCTAAGGAGAAAAAACTTGGAAATCCTTTTTTCAGGACGGAGTACCACTACAGATACCTTTCCTCACTGATACCTTTCCTCACTGAGTACTCACTGATACCAATTACCGATACTTTTTTTTTTTTAGTGTCATGTGACACATTTTCGCTAAAATAACTGGTGATTTTAGGACAGTAGGGGCCCTGGTAATTCTGCCACTGACTTCAGGTTGTAGAGGGACTACAAACCCCAAAGATACATTATATAGCAATGCAGAATACCACCACCTATAGACCACAAATCCCAGCAATACATTATATAGCAATGCAGAACACCAGCTATAGACTACAAATCCCAGCAATACATTATACAGCAACGCAGAATTATATGACGCTACAAACTCTGTTGCTCACCAGGGCTGCGCGGCGCCTCAGGAGGCTATGTGGAGTCTCAGGAGGCTGCGCGGACAAGTGCGAGTCTCACCAGGGCTGTGCGGACGGGTGTGGGTCTCAACATGTTTGTGCGGGAGGCAGAAAGGAGGAGTGGTGTTTGGCCTGCACTGCAAACAGGCGCCACAAGGTTCCCACAAGGCTGCCGAGGTCGCCAGCAAGTGCGGGAGCTTATGGCAGATAAATGTATTTAGAAATTTTTAAGCGCCGGTATTGGCGCTTAGTATCATGGCATTTTCATGGTACAAATACTCGTAAAAATGCCCAGTAACTGCACCAATACTGGTATCAGAATATCTATAGAGAAATCCAATCTGGATAGCTGCTGGAAGCACCACTGAGGTTTAGAGAAGCTTGCTTGAAGGATCTTGCAGACAAAACAAAAAATTGTGTTGAGAGAGGATATCCATCACCTAGGGACACTAGTAAAAAAAAAAAAGAAGTACTGGCTGGTGCTGGTACTACAGACAAGTGTAAGGTGAATGTTTATTCGTTCTGAGCAGAATTTTATACTTCATATTAAGCGTTGACTTCAGGAGATTCAGGACATATCCAAATGTGCCCTAGAGATGAGAGGGCTTCTGTTGACTGTTCCCTGAACTGGAGGCCCTCCAAATACTGTACTATGGGAATCCAATGGGACCGAAGTAGGGCTAGCACCTTGGTAAATACCCAGGATGCAGTAGGTAGACCAATGCAACAAAATGCGTGGAAGTAGAAACGATGGTGGGCAGGACAAATTGGGATGTGCAAATACTAATCCTTGATGTCCACCGAGGCTAGGAAATTGCCCGGATGTGGAAACAGCAGGATGCAAAGTAGGGCCTGCAAAGGTAAACAGTGCTTTAAAGTTGGGGTTGAGGTTCGCTTTGAGGAAGCTAAGCTTAATAGGATATTTTTGGGCAAACCGATAATAGTGAGTAAGAGCTTTTCAGGGTGCTACCAAATCACCATACAACACACGTGACCTTTGGAAGGGTCAACACATGTGGTTCTCTCTGTAAATGTATGTGCACAAGCACAGAAATAGTAATGGTGCCCTGGAAGGGGGTAGAGCTCTTGCCAAAAACATGGCCAGGCTGAGTGACTCCTGAGCTCACTACCCTGGTGTGCCCACTGGCCATGTATGCCCCTCAATACAAAACTTGCAGCAGCAGTGAGAGAGTGCCCAATGCAATGTGTGGGGTGCATTGCTTCTGCTTAGCTGAGGGTGTTTTGGTCCTCCATATGGTTGCAGGAGAGATCATGTGAGATATAGAAAACAAGCATCGCCTTCCAGGTGAGTATATCTCCTTAGAATCTGTTCAAGGTCAGGGCTCCACTTAATGGACCACGGTCCCGGACCTGAAAACACCCTGCGGCTGACCACACACTGCACAAAGTGCCACACAGTGTCTGGTGACAGGGCACATTTACAGGCCAGCCCTGCAAAAACACAGATTTACAGATTACAGCTGAAAAAGGGGGAGATCTTTGAGCCCTCAGAATGTGTTGGCTGTGCTGCGTTGTTACATAGTTACATAGTAATTGAGGTTGAATAAAGACATCAAGTCCAACCTATTGTGTGCATGTATATGGTTCTACTAATGTGTGCGTATATGTATATGTCCCCATGTGATCACCTTCACACGGGGACATATACATATACGCACACATTAGTAGTGTTGTTGTTTGTGAATCAATTCTATTTTTAAACATTTTTGGGCACTCGGACCGTTTTGTTTGGTGCCCTCATTGGACTTTATAGATAATTTGCTATACAATATAAGGTTCAATGTCATGTTTTGCAGAGAGATGGGAACTTCTACATAAATATTCATAAAAAAAAAAAAATTATAAATAAAAATTAAAAAAAACCCCCACACTTCTTTCTTACCACTGGGTAATTCAGTTTCCTCTTCTGAACTGGAAGAGTCCTCTTCACCACCAACCGTTATAGTGCCTAATGTCTTCCTCTCCTTTGATTGATCTTGCACAGAGATCTTTTCTTTGCTGCTCATTCGACAAACAGAACTCCTAAAAGAGCAATTGACAAAAATAGGAATTTTGTTCTCGCCATAAAATCCTTTTCTCTGCGTTCATTGAAAGAGAGAGAGTAGAGATCACAGATCAGGAACCACAGTGTAATTGCGCCATCTACAGGAGAAGGACCCTAGGCACAAAACAAAAAAACAGCCTAGGGCCAGCCTTCGTTGGTGGCCAACCCTCTCCCCCCCACCTGCTGACCAGCCTCTAGTAGGTAACAAGCAGTAAGGAAAAACTGACACACACACAGAGAGAGGGCGGGTGCTGTGTCCTTCAATGTCCTTTGCGGTGAGTAACAAAATTCTATTTTGTCTTCTGTGTATTAAAGGACACAGCGTAGAGATCGTACATCTGGACCCACAGGGACATCAAAAGATAACCCCCTCCCCCACCCCCCAAAAAAAACAACCGCTGGGCAGCCTGTAAAACCTTGAGCCCAAAACTCGCATTCGCAGATGTCAACACATTAACCTTGTAAAACTTAGAATAGATATGAACAGACGACCAAGTGGTCTCCAAGTGGCCAAAGCACTGTGACAAAAAGCCCAGGATGACCCGCCAGCCCTTGTAGAATGAGCCGGGAAATGGAAAAGGGGTTCCTTACCCCAAATGGCATTAGCTAGAATGATCTATTGCGAATCCACCAAGATATGGTTGCAAAAGACATCATGTGACCCTTCCGTGGACCATGAAAAAGAGAATCCGTCGTGGGAAACAACGCCTTGGCATCCAAATAAAACATGCAGGACCCGAACGGCATTTAGACAATGCAGAGCTCTCTGCTTCCAATGAACCAGCTTCAGACACAGGGAAGGCAAAACAATATCCTCATGAATGTGGAAAGCAGAAACCAACTTAGGAAGAAAAGACAGCCTGGGACGAAGAACAACCTAGTCTCTATGCAGGACTAAAAACGGGCCATGCCAACAAGGCCGCCAGCTTCGTCACCCTCCGCACAGACATGACAGCCACCAGAAATGCCACCTTTTGAGACAAAGTGAGTAACGGAATCTCTTGCAAATTCCTAAAGGACTGAAGGCACAAGATTTAAAGTGACATTAAACCCTCAGATTTTTTAACATAAACCAATACTGTAATGTGTGCCTTACTGTAATCCATGATAGTTTCCCTTCTCTTTGCTGCTCTTCCTTTTAAATCTGTATCTCTTCTCATGCTGGGGGAGAACTTCCCTTTGCAGCTGAGTGCCTCTTCCTGTAGTGCTGGCTCAAGTTGTGAACCTACACACAGACACCATGTATCCATTTCAGAGACAAGGCAGTCTGCTGCAAAACAGAAGTTCTTCCCAGCATGAGAACAGATACAGATTTAAAAAGGAAGAGCAGCAAAGAGAAGGGAAACAACCATGGATTACAGTAAGGCACACATTACAGTATTGCTTTATGTTAAAAAAATCTGAGGGTTTAATGTCACTTTAAATCCCAAGAATCTCAATGGCATACATGGTCCGCGAAGTAGCCTCTGCCTTCCTATGTGTAGCAACCCTGAAAGATGGGGAGCCTGCCACAGGAATGACCGTGACCTTGTTAAGACGTGAAACCAGTGGATCCACAAAAGGCAGTGAAGACCACTTCTTGACGAAGGACTCCTCAAAAGGGTACCTGACAGAGAAACGCTTGGGCACCGAAAAGGACTTGGTAGGATGCTGCCCCTCATTGTAGATAAAATCATCAATGGAAAGAATGTAAGGAAATACTTTGGCACTGTGGTCCATAGATGACAACGACCACCTCTATCCCCAGCCCGACAGTTAAACCCCGCCCGGAGTCCAGGAGCCACTGTCAGCTGCCTAAGCCGGTGCGGCCACAGTGCCATTAGAGACAAGCACCGCAGCCCAGCAGATCCAGAAACAGTCCCCCTCAGACAGATAAGTAGCTCTGCAGCCAGTGGCAGATAACAGTAAACAGAGAAGCACAATAACAAGCCAGCTCCCACTTTCCATCACCGAATGGCCCAAACAGCCTTCCGGACCCCCAGGTTTACATACTTACCCAGATGGGGCAATAGCAGTAGGTCCAGCTGAGCGACATCACCCCTAGCAAACGCGAGTTGACATCAGGTAGGAGTCGACAAAGGCTTGCAAGGGGACATGGGTCACCACCAGCCATAGCCGGAATGCTGCCAGCCTGTGTGCGATGCTGTGACTGGGCAGTCGAGACCCCCAGTCATATGTACCACACTGGGAAAACCTACAGGCCACTCCAGAGAACCAGAGCAGTCCCAGCCGACCATGCAGTGGCGAGAGTCTGCATGCGCTTGATGGCTGGCTGGGAAAGCATACAAGGATCTATAGACATTCAGCATGTCACACAGTCTCTTGCTTGAAGATCCACCAGAAAAAAAAATAAAAAAAAATGTACAAATAAAAGGAAAAAGAATTCCAGGAAATATTCCAGGTCCTTACTCCTGATGCTTGGCAAAAAACTGGAGGCTGGTCAGCAGGTGGGGTGTTGACCACCAACAAAGGCTTGTCTTAGGCTGTTTTTTTGTTTTCTGCTTAGCATCCTTCTTCAGGTGTAATTACTTTGTGGTTCCAGATCTACGATCTCTACGCTGTGTCGTTCAATGAACAGAAGAGAAACATTTTTTTCAGATAGCATCTCAACACATGTTTTAATGCATTTATCCCAAGGCCACTTCATAATGAGGTGTAAGAGCAGATCTAAAAATAACTGATTACTTACAGTGCAGAGGTAGACGGGAGAAAACCCTGTGAAAATGATGAACATCACTGATGGGACTAAAATAAAGCTACTAGATATGTCATTAGATCTGCCAACTTCCTTTCTAAATTGGGTAAAAAAAAAATTAAAAAATTATATCGATATCCAAGTAAATAGTCCAGGGAAGTAGGCACTCACGGGGCTTGTAATGAAGCAACATACATTTATTGATCAACATTTCGACAAGGCACTGCTTATCTATCTCAAGACTGGAGAAAGAAACAGTGAATCAGCGCTTTGTCAAAACATCAACCAGTAAATGTATCTGTGTTGCTCCATTACAACAACCGTGAGTGCCTGTTTCACTGGACTGTCTGTATTTAACTGCCTTGAGCGCACACGGGCAGCTTTTCCTCTTAGTGCGGGAGAGAGGCGAGGGTGAGAAAGAGTGGGGGATGGGGAGGGAGTGTGTGTGTATGTATGCATCTATATACTGTATATATAGATATCCATCTATAGATATCTATCTATATAATCTCACAGTGCTCAGCATAAATTAGTAGACCCCTTTGAACAGTAAGACTTTTATCAGTATCTCAGTGAACACCTGAACGATTTCCAAAATTTTGACAAAACTTGGAGTTTTATAGAACATTTGTTTAGCTCATTACATGAAAGTAAGGTTAATAATATAACTTAGATTACAGAATCTTCAGTTTTACTCAAATAAGGTGAAGCAATAAATGAACACACCCCATAATAAAAGCTACATCTAGTATTTTGTGTGACCTCCATGATTTGTAAAGACAGCACCAAGTCTTCTAGGCATGGAATGAACACGTTGGCAAAATATTGCAACAGCTATCTTTTTCCATTCTTCAAGAACGACCTCTTTTAGAGCCTGGATGGAGAGTAATGCTCAACTTGTCTCTTCAGAATTCCCCATAGGTGTCCGATTGGGTTCAGATCAGGAGACATACTCGGCCACTGAATCACTTTCACCCTGCTCTTCTTCAGAAATGCAACAGGGTTTGTTTTGGATCGTTGTCATGTTGGAAAAGTGCACGATGACCAAGGGCAAGTGATGGTAGCATCTTCTCTTTCAATATAGAGCAGTACATCTGTGAATTCTCGATACCATCAATGAAATGCAGCTCCCCGACACCAGCAGCAATCATGCAGCCCACCAGCAGCAATCATGTAACCACAGAAGGACACTGCCACCACCATGTTTCACTGTTGGCACCATGCATTTTCCATTGTACTCCTCACCTTTGTGATGCCATACAGTTTTGAAGCCATCAGTTCCAAAAACATTGATCTTGGTCTCATCACTCCAGAGTAGAGTCCCAGTAGTCTTCTTTTTCAGCATGGGCCCTGGCAAATTGTAGGGAGGCTTTTTTGTGCGCGGGCTTTAGGAGAGGCTTCCTTGGTGGACGACACCAATGCATGCTATTCCTCTGCAGTGTACGCTGTATTGTGTCACGGGAAACAATCACCCCCCACTTTCACTTTCTAGTTCTTTAGCTAACTGCAGTGAACTTGCATGGCGATTTTCTTCAACCCTTCTCATCAGAAGACACTCCTGTTGAGGTGTTAACTTTCGTGGATGGCCTGGACGTCTCTGTGAGATGGTTACAGTTCCGTCTTTGTTACATTTTTGTATCACTCTTTCTATAATCTGTACCTTCATACTCTTAATATTACTAATAATAATAGTAATATTAAGAGTATGATGGTACAGATTATAAAAAGAGTTGATACACCTTTAAAGGAGGAGGGGATCGAGCTTCCCTTTCGTCAAAAAGGGACGTTTTTTTGGATTTTCAAGCTAGACACTCGCATTTCCAAATGTTTAAACTTTGAGTCGGAGTTTACATACTATTACGAGTGATCCGAACAGTTACGAGTTTTGATGGTTTTTGGTCTTTATTTATTACTTGATAATACATTTGTGCTTTTGGCATTCTCTGAAATATTGAGAAGAAGGTTCTGGGCAATCGCCTGAGACACCTGTGACAGCAGATCTTTTTCTCGATGGTTCTTCAAATAATATAGTATTTTAAAAACAAAATAGGACCATTCAGCTACTTTTTTAGGGTTTCTCTGTTCGCCTAACTAGCCTTAGTAGTGTAGTTTCCAGATAATATCCATCATATTTGATGTTCTTAGCGCATTATATATTATTTACGTTTTATTATAAGATATGATTATAAAAATGTTTAGTAATCATTGGTTATTTAATGGATGGATACTATTTCTAGGAGACTATGCCTACGATTGATATATATTAATGAGATGTCCCAATAA